AGGATGAATTGGGGGCAGTCAGCACTGCCCACTGCAAGGCCATCTGCCCTCTGTATCATGATACTAAGACTTGCCTGTTGCCTTTATCTTTGGGGAAGGCCTACAGACATCTCCATGTTTTAGACTACAGAGCAGCATCCACATTGGCCATCAGAACCATTGTCATAGGGTTGGGGGATGGGGAAGGAGGAGTTGCCGGACCACGTGACCACCGTGCATTCCTCCAGCTCAGAAAACAAAGGCAAAGACAACAGCCGCCATCTTGAGTGTTTAACTCCACTTCCTACAGGGGGAGCGGGAGGTGTTCCCCTTTCTATGTCTCCTAACCCTGCGAGATGAAATCCTTGCATGTGCATTCGCCTTACAAAACTCTCCTTTTCTGTAAGGGGCATCCTGACATGCTCCTCACGAGTGGATCTCCGCGGAGGACCTGTTGATGTCATGCGGAAATGGGGAAGCTGAGGGAAGCCCTAGTGCTAGATGATTAGACTTTGCCAGAGAACCGGGCAGAGAACAAAGGAAGGTAGATGGTCAGGAAAGGGGCCAGCGAGACCCCTTCTCACAGGGAGAGGCGAGAAGAAGTGCCAGCTATTGTCTGAGGTGACCTGTAGAACCCAGGAGGTCTAGGAGGGGCTGGAAGGGACTAGGAGGCGGGGACCCTGGTGTGGACGTAAGGACCAGGGGCTTCATCATGGTGGACAAGGATTTATGGCTGCTGCCCGAGTAGTAGATAAGGGTCCTGCAGCTGCCCTGGCCTGGAGGTCACTTCGAGGGTGGTGGCTGCCCCAGAGGAGTGCCATCCCAAGGTAAGGGGTCTGGAGGCTGATTGTTTACTGTCATTACTACGTGGGCCTAGTGCTGTCTAGGCAGGGAGCGTGCCAAGCTGTGGCGAGGGGAGGGAGCGCGCTAAGCTGTGGGAAGGGAGCTCATTTCGCTAATACCTACTTCATCCTCTCCTGACAAAAATGTGTTTTCCAAGCGGCCCTCGCTGGGCCCTGTGTGGCTACTGGTGGTACAGGTGCCGGCCTGGACTCTGCCCCTCCGTCCACCCCAGCTGCTTGCGGGGCCTGAGTGTCTCTGGCTGCCGCTGTGTGTAAGGAGCCAGTGAACGCCTCCGGCCGGCAGTGGCAGCTGCTCACACCCATTCATCCACATCGCAGGCTTCACAATTAGCAGGGCTTGCCTGTTACCCTTGTAATTCACCTCTCCTGCTCACAGTGGGACTTTCTTTTCCTGTCCTCTGAGTTGGAATGGGGATAAGAGCCAATAATGAGAAAGAGCGGGACTACAGGTGCCCGCTGCCAGAAGGGTGTGTAAATAGCACACCAGCTTCGCTGCCTGTCTGGTTCCAAAGGCTTCCTGGATGGCTGGACTGGTAGCCTGGCGCAGCCGGGACCAGGATCCTCAATGAAGAGCCGGGGCGGAAGGGTGAGGCTCCAAGCAGGACTCAACTGCTTGGCCTGGTTTCAAAGGGTGACATGATGTGGCAAAGCCAGCATCCCCTTTGATTTTCCCTCCTAGCTGTCTGGGTTTCAAGCACACTAGGAATGCATAGCTGTTCAGCTGCCATAGGAAACTACCATGGACACATCAGCGTGACTGAGGTCAGTACGTGTGCACATGGCACCGCTTTTCTCCTATTGCCCTTTTTCTCATCCCAGAGCGAACGCTGGACCCCCATTGCCTTTAGCCAACGTGCTTTATAATTGTATAGACTCATTCTTCCAGGTGACCTTTCTTAATTACCAAAAGGAAATGATATACTATACTGTAACCCCAACTCTGACCAGGGCAGGAACAGATTGAAACAAGCTATGAATGCCCTTTAATTCCTCCCCACCTCCCCTCCCCCCTGCATTCCCTCCCCCCCTTCTCCCCACTCCCTCCCCCTCCCACCAGCCTTCAGCCCAGGGCTCAGAGCCCTCCTCCTGGATGGTCTTGTCCCTTCTCCAGCCAGGAGCTGCGCACCTGAGCTCCACCCACTCTTGGCGGCCTGTGGCTTCCTGTGCTGCCTGCTGGGGACCCCCCTCAGCTTCCTGGACTCAGTTTCCAGGGTCACCCCTCGCCATCCGCGCTTCCCCCGCTCCTTCCTCCTCCTTGGTCACGCCCACCCCCTGTCCTCCTCACTGGTGCTCACACCTGTAATCCTAGCTGAGATCTGAGGATCGCGCTTCAAAGCCAGCCCCAGTCAGGGCTTATCTCCAGTGAACCACCAGGAACTGGAGGTGGGGTTGTGACTCAGTGGTAGAGTGTCGCCTTGAGCACTCAGGTACCACCCTCAGGCCCAGCTGGCAACATACAGAAAGTAGGACTTGAGTGAAGGTAGCAAAGAGACCGCAGGTGCTACCGAAGGTGAGCGCCGGCTCCGTTAGAGGGCTGGGATGGGGCTGTGTGTCTAGAGCAGGGCTGTTCCAGCGCTGTGAGCTTGGTAGGCTTCCATGTCTGGCCTGGCTCTGAGTTTCTGGTGCACAGAGCTTGGAAATTTGCATCTTGTCTACTCCGGGAGATGCTGATTGCCAGCCCAGGAATCACACCTCCGGACAGTTGCCCTGGGCCTGACTGAGTACTCCTTCAATATGCAAACTGCTCCAGGGACCAAACGAGGCCTGATCCATGGGTAAAACCCCAGGCCTAGGAGAATAGAAAGAGAGAGAGAGAGAGAGAGAGAGAGAGAGAGTTGGTGTAGACAGTGCTGCACAGCGGTCTCCGTTAGAGGATGAGAGCCTGCGTCCTTCCCTGGGGAATGAGTTATTTCAATCCAGCAGCAAGTGCTAATTGAACAGGATCTCCTCTGGAGACCTCACTTCTGCAAGGTCAAGCGGCAGAAGCTCTCAGAGAGAGGGGGTGGAGATGACCCTGACCTTGGCAGCGGAAGGGAGAGTCACCCTCGGGAACTTCCAGGTTTTGAATTCAGCTCGTGACACCGAGCTGCAGGTGGAGGAATGGGAGGTGGCGAGGTCTGCCCCCAGAGGCCCATCCTGGCTCAGTTCTTCCAGAACATCTGGGTACGGTGTCCCCCACCCCCAGTACTTCCGGATGGCTTCATGAAAGGGAACAGGGCGCAGAGGCGTCTCCTGGTGGGTCAGCAGCCAGGCTGTGAGTGGCAGGAGATCACACCCCAAGGCCCTTCCTGGAACGGGCAGCTCCAGCTGCTCAGCAGCCTCAGTCATTTCCGTGGGTTGTCTTGTAGGTTGTAGGACCCATCTCGGGTATGTTTGGAGGGGGAAGGGAGGGAGTGGGTGGGGGCCCGAGCCACTCTACCCACGCTGAGTGATCTGCCAGCTGCCCCGGCCGGTCCCTGCAGCAGATCACAGATGTGACCCACAAGGGATTTTTGTTTTTAACATTACAGCTAAGATGCTTTCGCTTTATGCCTGGAGCTGCCTATCAGCCCACAGATGGCAGGATAATTTTGTTGTGACCGTTGGTGTCAGTGTTGCAGTAGTTACCTATGACTCACCATGCACCATCTACGTACTTTACCGTCTCTGTGAGCCCTGGGAAATAAGTGGTCTTGCCCCATTTCTGCAGAGGAGGACATGGGGATCCGCAGAACCAGAGGTCACTGGCAACGCCAGGACTGTGACATTGGGCCCTGTGAACAGTGTGGATTTCCACCAACCAGGCGTCAGGCCCAGGCAGCTGGCAGGCAGCCCCGGAAGCCCAGGCTCTTGACCCCCCGCAGTGTCCGGGCAGCGGAAGACTGTCAGGTGGATGAAATCAAGTCAAGTAGTGATTTAAAAACTCTTCATCAGAAGGAATCACGTGCCTTATTTTCTTAATGATCCTATTTTCCATTAATCTTAAAAAATGCAAACAGAGGTAATTGGTGTTTAATTAAAGCCGCCAGTGTATTTCAATAAAGAACATTTTAAATCAGGGGGAAAAAAATACAAAACCCCTGCATTTGCATGGCTGTATTGATTTGCTGTGCCTCAACTGGCTCTGCCAGTTCACGCTGCCTTAGGCACCACTGCCACCTGGTGTCTGTGAGAAGAATTGCAGGCTTGGTTCCTACTTGTTGGCAAAGTGGCTGCGTCTGAATCTTCGTTTTATCTGTACAAATCCAAAATGTCTATTACATCTGTGGCCTTTAAACTGTTTTGTTATCACCAGATTAACATTTACAGGTACTTTTAATAAAAGTAGCATTAACTATGGATAAATACTTCATTGTCAATTCTAAAGCCAGTCTCTGTAAACACAGTAATAGAGCTCTTTCTCGGCCTGCACAATATCAAGTCCTGGAAGGACTTCTATTAAATTTGACCTCTTCCTCTCGACTCCCCTAGACTCAAACCCTACTAATGACTCGCTAGTTTTGAAACGTTCTAGATTCTCCCTTCACCTGCCCACTGCCTCTGTCCTAGCTGCTGCTCCTGCCTGGACTGCCAACCCTCCCCCTTTACCTACTGAGTTTCTTCTTCAAATGTCTGATCTCGTGGTGAGAGCATGGCTACACAAGTCAGTGTCTCGGTAGCAATGTCTAGAGAAACGGACGGTGCCCTTCCAAGTTCCATCAAGTGTCCTCCCAGCCATCTTAGGAACGGCTGTGCCCTGTGCTTCCATGACTCAGTTAGAATAACCTGCTTCTCTTACCCCAGCACTGTTTCAGGGTTTAAAGAAAAACAGATGTGAAGTGCTCCTCCATCAGGGAGTCTGGTCCCTAGGACAGACAATGGGGCAGGGAAAGCAAGAGGCGACAGAAGCACCTAGAACCTTGAACGGTGCCTAACCTGTGCCAAGTTGTCAAACCAATGTGGTCCCTTGCCTGTTGAGTCTTGCTTGCAAAACCATTGTGGTGTTGGGACCTCCTTCACCTATTGCCACGCGCCTCAGCCCTGGCCAGCTTCCCCAAGGACCTGGCGGTCAGGATGGAGGGGGCTAAGTAAGGATGCTATTTGGGGCAACCTCAGTTCATCTGAGAGTGGACGGGTCACCGTCGTGGGCTTCCCGGGTCTCCCAAAGGATGGTAAACATTGCTGTGTTCCTCTGGCCAGGTGGTTGACAGTGACAGGCCCGAAGGCTCCAAGTTCCGGCTCAGCGGGAAGGGCGTGGATCAAGATCCCAAAGGAATTTTCAGGATCAATGAGAACACGGGCAGCGTCTCCGTGACACGGACCCTGGACAGAGAAATGATCGCCACGTACCAGGTGAGTGCCCTGCCCGTCTGTGTGCCCCCGTGTCCCGGGGCGTGGCTGCAGTGCCCTCTGCCTGTGGGGCAGTGAGCGCCAGGGCCTCGGGCTCCCGGATGGAGCCCCAGGCCTGCTTCCAGCTTTGGCCCGTGGGAGGTGCTGGAGCCCTCAGAGCGGCTCTCTACGCCATCTTTGGCTTTCCTGAGACCCCCTTAGCGATGGAGAATGGGAAGAGGAGCAGACCCTCCGACGTGGTCATTCTGCTCTCACAGATCTGACCAAGAAGCAGGGAGGGGAGAGCGTCCCTCGTTGTTGTTTGATTTGAAACGATGCTGTAAGAGGCCGTGGTGCGCTCCGCAGGAAAACTTGCTAAGTATTTAGCAGTTGGGGTCTGGGCGTTGTGGCCTGCTGCCAGATGGTTTTCTGCAGCGTTTCAAGTGCTCTCGAAGACGCGTTGGGTCTATGGAGAGACCGGCCGTGTCCAGTGGGCACAGCACCTCACGTGGGGTGTCCCTCGGTGGGGGACGTGTTTGCACGCATCAGAATGGCTGTGCGTTTACAGGTGAGAGGAAACGCACAGCACTGATGGCTGAGTTTGTCTGTTGCTCTCTCCCCCAGCCCTACTGGGGGGTTGTGGATTCCAAGCGAGGAGTCCGTACCTCAGGGACACTGGCGGCTTCCGGTGCTGGACATGGTGGGGGGAGGGGGAGAGGGAGGGGGAATGAACCGCGGTGGCTCATGAAAAATCTGCCAATGCCAGCAGGCTCCATGTTGACCATGCACTCCAGCGTCTTGGTCCCAGGAGAGCACGGGCCCCCGCTCAGACTCCCCCTCAGAAGCCTGGCCAAAGGTTTTCTGGGCATCTGCAGGAGGCAGCGAGCACTTGTCAGTGAGCCCCCAGGGGTGAGCCATCTCTCCATCACAGACCCAAGCAGGAAGCTGCTCAGCCACTGTTGAAATTGCCAATTGGCCCCCTCAGAAATGTCCAGTGCCAGCTGGCCGTGGCAGTGACCAGAGAGGGCCTGGCAGCTGTGGGCATCCGCTGCTGTAGGAGAAGCGGGCAGCGGAGCGTGGGCATCTGCCCTTCCCTCTCCCCACGCCGCCGTAGGAACAGCCAGGAGGCCTCAGATGCAGGGACTGCACCCGTGCGTTTCGGGGCTTGGCGTACAAAATGTCTTCCAAGCGGGCCTGGTCCCTGGGAGCCATTTGGGGACGGGAGCAGCAGCAGGAAACCACAAACCTCGGCCTTTGAGGACTAACGCCACCAGGCAGCCTCTGGCCGGCTGCATCCCTTGGTCGTGACACCCGGGTGGGGGTGAAGGCCTCCTTTGGGAGAATTTCTGACGTGTGATCGGCTTTGCCCGTGACCTCCGCAGGGAGAAGGACATGCTGTCACGCGTGTGTGGGGGCTTTGCTGTAGGACAGGATGGCTGAAGGGACAAGAGACACTCACCCGGCCCCCGATTTGCTCACGAAGAGCTGCCCGTGCGTGGGGCTGAGCTCGGGAGGGGGCTGCAGGGATGTATGAAGGGGTTGTGTTTGCATCTAAGTGCTCTTTAACATGGCCGCTGGGGGCGAGGGCTCTGGGATGGAAAATGGCCGCCCGCTCTGCGTAACGTCTCCCTGGCCTGTGTGAGTTCAGACACCCCCACCCTCTCTGATCTAGTGATTTGATTCTCGTCCATAAAGTGTGGCTAGATCTCACACCTAGAAGGATCAGAAAAGGAGAGATGACTCGTGTTTGTAGCGGGCAAGTAAAATAGGACTGTCTCTTGGCGCTTCTCATACTTGCTCTTCGCAGCTGTGTGTGGTGTCGCGTGGCGGGGCTGGCTGTATTCCAAGCATGGCCGTCCCGCGCTGGTTGTGGGGTGCTGGCAGGTGGCTGCCCCAACGTCCTAATGTCTGGAAAGCAGGAATCGTAATGGTGAGCTCAGAGCATTTTGTGAGGGTTAAATATCAGACATTTGGTACAGTACTGGGCCGTGGTAAGCCCCAAGGGGTAGGGCAGGAAGACAGTGAGACCCAGCACACAGGCTCCCGGCTTCCCTCTGCCTTTCGTTTCTGTGTCTACGGTTTGATCTAAAAAAATCTTCCCCATGGTGGGCAGATGACAGGCCCGGAAGTTGTACTTTGTGGGTCATGGAGGTGGCATTACCCAGGCCCAGGTGGGCCCAGGTCCCCTTCCCCAAGGCTGTGGGAAGGCAGCATCTGCCAGGCACACTGGGGAGGACCCTGAAAATGTAGAGCCAGCCCCGCCGCTCTCCTTCCCCCCAGCCTGGCAAGGCTGGCCTCTCCTGCCTCACCTCCATTGCTCTTCCTTGGAGTTTTGTCCTGTTTCTTCCTATCCTTGCTGGGGAAGTCCCCCTCGTTATCCACCCTGTGCGCGCTGCTTCTATTTCTGCATTTTCTGGGAGCTGGGTCACTCTGGTGTGCATATATTTTGGCCAAGGAACAGTAGCAATTCCAGTCTGGTCCAGCGTCTGTGTGAAATAACTTTCCATCTCAGTAGCTCGGATCCATCTTCTTCACAGCACTCAAAATGGCAGGGGTGAACTTCTCCTTCAGAGCCCAGAATCCTGTCTTCGTACCTCCATGCTTTACTTTCTACTCTTGCAAGTTCTGAAAGCAGGGAGCCTGTGGGTGAAGATCTTGACATCATAATTGCTACGGTGTTGTTGTTTGCTTAAAAGTTAAATGCTGCTCACTTGCAAGTGTTCGCATTTCCCCAGCAGCGGTGCTCTGAGCTTTCTGTGGCTACAATTGATAGGGGAAATGTCTTCGGCTCCCAGATGTGTGTTGTCATTGAAACTACTCTTTTGGGGTGTGTGTGTGTGTGTGTGTGTGTGTGTGTGTGTGTGTGTGTGTGTGTGTGTGTGATTGAAACTACTCTTTTGGGGTGTGTGTGTGTGTGTGTGTGTGTGTGTGATTGAAACTACTCTTTTGGGGTGTGTGTGTGTGTGTGTGATTGAAACTACTCTTTTGGGGTGTGTGTGTGTGTGTGTGTGTGTGTGTGTGTGTGTGTGTGTGTGTGTGTGTGTGTGTGTGTGTGTGTGTGTCCGTCCATCCTTGTACTTGAACTCTGGACTTGGACACTGTCCCTGAGATCTTTTGGCTCAAGGCTGGCACTCTACCACTTGAGCCACAGCACCACTTCCAGTTTCCAGGTGGTTCATTGGAGATAAGAGTCTCATGGACTTTCCTGGCCAGGCTCAAATCTCAGCCTCAATCTCAGGATTACAGGGATCCTCAGATCTCAACCTCCTGTGTAGCTAGGATGACAGGCGTGAGCCACCAGCGTCCAGCTCTTGAATGCTACATGGTGGATCGTGGGCAAAGCTCTTCCTGTGCATTCTCCTGTTTAATCTGTGTCCCAGGAGAGACTTAAGAAGTAGGTGCTCAGGCCAGCGTGCAAAAGCAAATAACAGTTATATAGCTTCTTCGAGGACCCGAGGCTGGTGTGTACTGGGTCTGTGATCTTTCTGGATTTCTCTCCAGCTCTGAGAGCTGCGCCCCCCAGCCCTTGATTTTACCTCTGCTTCCTGGTTTTAGCTCCAGCCTCACCCCAACCAGGCTTTGCTCTGCACTCAGTAAATCCTCCAGCCCTTTCTTCCTCATTGAGCTGGGAAAGCCTGACAGGCTGGGTGATCTATTACTTCTTAAATACCACCCGGTTCTGCAACCTCCACCATTTTACCACGCCCTCTGACCCAGCGCCCCCAAAGTCGCGGACCACCTCCCGTCATCCTAACCTGAAGTGGCACCTGGCAAAAATAATTTGGGTCTTTCAGCATCGGAAGCTGACATATTAACGCGAAGCTTCCTGAAATATTATTCATTATTATGCATTTTGCCAGCATTTGAGTGATTTGTGAACTCTTCATTGGAATAAAGTACTGTAAATGATTCATGAATGACCAAGTTTATGAAATTCTATAAAAATATTAGCAGGTGGTAATGATTTCTCTCACGCTGTGACTATAATCTGCCGGCTGCAGATTTGTCAATCTGGGTGGACGGGAGGAGGGTGGGAGACGGAGTCTGGGAGGCAGGTGGGAAGCCAGATGGAGGGCTTGGGATGGAGACCAAAAGGAAGAGGGACAGACCGCAGTAGTGGGCAAGTGTCATCAAGGGAGACTGACGCCCTGATCGGGGCCCACAGTGGGAGATTCACATGGGTAGGAAAAGAGAGGAAGGAGCGTGAGAACTAACATTTACTGAGCACCTATTATGTGCTTGAGAACTTTCTAGCCCCCCTCCCTCCCTCCCTCCCTCCTTCCCTCCCTTCCTCTCTCCCTCCCTCCCTCCCTCCCTCCCGCTCTCTCCCACTCTCTCCCCCCCCCCTCTCTCTCACACACATACACACCCCTATGAAAATGGTTGATGATCTTCACTGATGACTTGGCTGAAGACCAGAGGGCTCCTCGAGATGAGTTGTTATTATTAATGCCAATATTCTTTGAACACTCTCAATGCGCCCAGGCTCCTTGGTAAATATTTAAAGGATGATCTCATTTAACCTTCGTAAAGATGAGCTTGAAAGTCTCCAATTAAATTATCGAGCAGACAGCTGGGACACCTCTGCTCTTGGCCCCAGAACCCAGACAGGAATTCAATGTCCCCCCTTCCGATATGGCCCGCCTGCTCAATGCGACAGGACTTGCTCTCCCCATGAGCCAAGTTCTCGGTCCGAGTTTTGACTTTACGGTTAAGAGCTTGGCTGTAAAGTTGGAACCGTCTTGGCGGTGGGAAGCATTCCCTCTCCTCTCTCCCTTCACGCATGCATCCCTCCCCTGCTCCACTGGTGACCAGAGAGAGATCCAAGATGACAGAACTGAAAAGACATCGGAGTGAAGTAATGAACACTGCTGTCCAGTGCCACAAGGCCTCTCAACATGAGTGGGCCTAAGGCATTCAAGAGGCGCGGAGGTAGCCGGGTGGAGTGTGGTTGAGTTGATGAGCTGGGTTGCGCCCCGGCGATGCCCCCAGCAGCCGGGTGAGGTCGCTCCACCTCTGGTGGA